TGGTTGTTGGAATTGTCAGAGAATCTATGGCTGTAAATTTATTTTAGACCGCTTGTTTTGGTTCATTACCTTCTCTATATGAAAACTATCCAGCATCATCTAAAAAGTGCTCGTATTTGAGCGGTTAAATTTGCCCATGCTTTCCCGGACAAATAAGGGAACTACTTCGATGATGTTATTTGGGGGAATGCAGACACTGAATCTTCAGCCAAAAAATTAAAACATTCAAGAGAAAGGGTTGATCGATGGCTTGTGGCTGTGTATTTACACAGCAATGGATCAATAAACAAAAGGAAATTTTGGTTAGCAAAAAAAAAAATTAAAAAAAAAAATCCGGCAGATTTTCCCGATGTCAAACGTGGAGTTTTTCTCCCTAAATATCACAGTGTTGCTCGTGAATATATTGGAATTTACCGCAGCATTAAAAACAAAATGGCACCAAAATATTTTGAAATAGCAGAATGAAAATAATTGAAAATAAGGTGCACTGAAAACAAAAAGTGCCTTTTCAAGATTGCACCGCGTAGACCTTTCAATTCTCTCATAGCAGTAGATGATAATTCTATTTAAATGAATCCCCTTAAAAACCAAAGAACGTGAGAGCGCACTTTCTCTTGTAGCTGCAACCAAACACTAAAAACAAACGAGGACAGGATTTAATTATCTTCGGTATAATAGGCAATTTGTCGTTGCCATCCCATTAATATTATGCTGGCAAGTCGCCTTAATACCCTTGACCGGGCTTAATCAAATATTGGCCTGGGATCCAGACCTGATGCATGGCGGTGGCATGACGTATTGTTGGGCAGGGCATCCTGGGGGTGCACACTTTTTCCAGGGTAGTGAAAATTATTGAACGACGTTTTTCCATAGAAAGACGCTTTCCCTTAAAATGATCTTCAGTAAAAACTGGCCACGTTTGCGCCGTAAGGTTGAGAGTTAGTATTTCGCACGAGACGTCCCTTTATCTTTTTTAAGTAACACCGCTAATTTCGGTTACACTTTGAATAAAGCGGGCGGTTTTCATGACGGACGTGTGAAATCAGAAGACCCAATTATGAGTTTTCCGATAATGGGAAAGACGCACTGAAGCTGAAATTCTGCCGTTGAATTGAAAAGATAATTTCGAAAGCTGAGAAAAAACCTAAAAGGTTATTAAAAGGATTTACACTCTCAGTGGAGTGGGTGGCACGCTGCCTCTAAAAGGATGACATTGGTTCAGTGCTCGTGAATAGTCACTGCTTGTAGCTATACAGGCCATCTAAATTTCCTTGGCTTGGCTTTTGCCAAGAGCTCTGGATCCATTGCAATTTGCACTCGAGGTAAAAGGAACACGCCACGATTGAAAGAACCAGCTAGTGCCCTAGGCTTAGTTTACTCGTGAGGCTGCTTCTTCTCAGCAATTATTCGATCCGTGTTTAAAGTGAGAAGAAATGACGTTCCCGGTAATGTATCTTTCCTGTGTGTCGATGCTTGTTTGTCCTCACCAGAAAAAGAGTAGTAGAAGTGTGGCCGGTGCAACCTCGTCCCCAGAGGTTATTTTGTTAACGAAGAGCAGGTAGCAGTGGGGGGCGCACCGTGAAAGGAAGTTGAAGCTGGTGGGACCGAAAATGGCGTCCACATTCAAAACAAAACCCGTGCACGCACGTTCGCTAAGCCTTACAGGGAGCTGATTTTTAGATAGAGTTCAGTTATATAATAACATGTACACACAAAACATACACACCTTGATTCAAGCAGCAAGCAATCCACGGTGCTTTCAGCGTCTGTAACTGTGAAGTACCCTTCTTTCTTCACAAAATTCTGTGCAGGCCGGGAATTAGCCCCACCCAACGGTGGGCTATCCAGGTTTTTAAAGTCGGAGAACAAAATGGAATTTTTTTAAACGCAGAGTATCCCTGCGTCACATATGCGGCTTTTACCCACACCAAGTGGTTGGCAAATCTATGGCTGGCCATCAGTACAAAAACCCCAAAATCAAATTTCTTCTAAGAATCTCACGCAAATGTTACTTTGCATACATGGCTGCCTTTTGACACCAATGAAGCACAACGAACATCATAAGGCAACCAGATGTGAACTCTGTTAAAACTTTGGCCACCCATAGCCTGCCGAATTCGATATCATTCATCTCGGAAACCAAATCGCTAAAAGACTGTAATAATGAGAACTAATTAACATAATGCTTGTTGGTTCTTGCTGAAAGGTGTGACTCAAGATCATAATATAATTACGTACTGCATGCGGGGTCCCAGCTGCAAACGGTTTTGAATATTTTGAAGTGTTTGAATGTAATTTCAAAATAACTGAAAGGAATATTGGACAATCCATAGGGCGTACGTTTAAGGGTTACAATCAAATTGAACAGGTACCCTGATCCCCCCCCCGACCAAAAGATGTGTGTGTGGGTGGGGGGATATACCACCCTCCTCCCGGATTAAAGCCCGCGGTCCCTTTTCGATCTCTTGGATCAAAGCTTGCTATGTACGCCACGCCGGCATTGTAACAGAGGTGGATATACCAGAATTTCACTTTTAAACCCCATTCTCGTCACCCATTTGATAAAATTCTACTCAGAAAACGCCACCTTATTGGTATATCAACTGCCAATGTGCGGGTGCGCGTTTCGTCTTTATCTTTCACCTTGATCAGAAAATATTTTTTGAGAGGCAAATAGAGGCTTGGAATGCATCTCAGTTCCTCAGTGAGTGATAATTGCACAGGTTACATTTGCATGATTTGAATGATCTGTTAACAAGGCCAACATGACTTGGACGCCTGACGACATACGCTTGGTTTTGCTCATTATGCAAGTGCTTGCTGGTTTCAAATGAAATACCCAAACGATTCCATCTCACGTATATTCCCAATTACTTCTTGAAATTGACATTATAAGATATACATAAATTATTCTTAATTATTTCACTTACAAAGAACATTTCCAGTTGTTTTAAAATCCAGCGTTTATTTCTGCCTAATTTACCGATACCGTCCTTACTTAGAGGAATCCCGGGTCATGGGTCAAGGGTCAAGGTCGTGTGAAAAGGATAAAATGGAAACTGTGGAGTTTAGAAGATGATTGTCACATATCACTAAATTTAGTAATAAATTATAGATTTATCACTTAAGTTATCAGTTAGTTGTTAGTGATTGGGATTTGTTCATTAGCTCGACCGGCCTCGTGCTACACTATTGGGGCATAAGAAGACCGACACTTAACGTTAGCATTGTGGAATATAAAGTAATATTTGAAGGGAACGATGCAATGTACTTTGCAGTGTCGTAAATCGGTTCCGGGGACTGGCCATAGGAAGCAAGATATGAGACAGAGAGAACCCCCCCCCTTGCTTGTGTTGGTCATTATTTCACTGGAATCTGAGGAATTCTTTTCAGACATCTAGGGATATGTGTTAGATAACAGTAGTCTAGAGTGGACATGTTGGGGTACCCCTCGGTCTCATTTCTTGCTGGACATAGGACTGGATGGGATGGGAATGACTTCAGCAAATTGGAAAAGCGCGGGGGGAACACCAGGGGTGCTATTCACGATACAAATCACGTGTTTACTTAACACTCCTAAAAAAAACTGCGTATCTCATGGCTTTGATAATTTTCGAAAAAAAGTACTTCTGTGTGTGTGAGTGTGGGGGTTATCCAATGCCTATCTGATCCAAAAAGCGGCGGGGATATATCCCATGCATCCCCGGGATTTTTACACCCCTGGTACTTTGAATTTTCAGGGGAATCAAAGAAAATGTTGGGAAACCTCAAACCAAAATGAAGACAATTTCGCTTAAGGTCAAAAGGAAAAGGGCGTAACAAGCCAAACAAAAACAAGGGAGAAACAAAACACAACCAAAGTCTCCCCCCAAGTAAAGGCAAAAGGAACTTTCGTGCGTTGATTGTGAGTGAGGGAGGGCGCACAACCTCCATCCTCGCTCTTCAGCACAGCTGAGGCACGGATCCCGAAGGGGTTCGGGGATCAATCCCTCCCTTCCTAATCTTGCCAATTTTCTTAAAGGGCCTATGTCTAAAGGCTGGAAGACTCCTCTAAAAAGTATACACATATGTAGGGGTCTACGGTTAAGGACGAAACAAAACTTTCAGTTGGTATGTTTTCTCTCCTATTGTTTTCCCCATCAATTGGAGATTTCAAATGGGACGCAATTGGTTTCAATTGGCATTTTTTCTTTGCTGTTTATTTTTCCTCGATCAATTGATAATCTCAAAATTTATGGGACGCAACTGGTTCCACTTGGTTTTCTTTCAGCTTTCTTCCCCAATCAAATGAATTTTCAAATGTGACTCAGTTGTTTTTAATTGGTACTGAAATGGTTTCAATTGGTTCTTCGGTTGGTTACAATTGGTTCGTGAATTGGCATTAAAATGGTGTCAATTGGTTTCGAAATTGTCCAACTGAGAAAAGGTCCAAAGTTACTATTCAAACCAATTGAACCTAATTGGATTCCAATTGATTCTATGCAAAGCAATTGGTCTTGGAATTTGTATATAAATTGATGAGTGAATTGGATCCAATTGGTATGTGAATTGGATCCAATGGGTAAGTGAATTGGATCCAATGGGTAAGTGAATTGGTCTCAATAGGTAAATGAATTGGACACTTTCAGTAAGGAATGGCTTTCGCCAACGGTGTCTCCCGTAGTATTCCGATCCCCCCCCCAGCAGATAATCCTGGATCCGCCCCTGTGATTCCGAAGATGAACATATGAAATTCAAATAAAACAGTCACAGGCAGATAACAAGATGGTTTCGTCTCGCACAACAGGGAGCTGGATCTTGATTAAAATTCACGGTGGGCTTGACAGGCACTTATTCTTGGTTGCCAAAACGGGTCGTGCAGGAATAATTTCATTCCTCCACGGAAGGGGCGCCAATTAAAGCGCGCAGAAAACAGTATCCAAATCACGCATCTGTAACTTCGTTCAGCATTACAACAGATCCGCAGACTGCAAAATAACTGTGAACACAACATGCAGCACTAGGATGCATATAAAATTGCTGTTTGATTTTTAATTGTGTCATTGACCACAGAAATCACTGTGAAAAAAAATACACGAAATACATGTAATGGAAACAATGCATACTTCTATGAAGTATAATGTTTACAAGATTACGTCTAAATTTAGGATCTCGTCAAACGCCCTTGCAGTGCGGGGCCGAGGAGGGCTGAAGTGTCAACTCATAGACCCAGGTCCTGCTCAGGAGGGGACTGAAAACTGCTTGTTTTTTTAAAAGAAGTTAGAGGATGAAATCGGACAGAGCTGTGTACAGAGAGTGGCTTCAGCCTCCGATATTGGAAACAAAGTGGCTGATCGCTATGTGCGCAGTAGACTTTGCGGCCCTTGTGCACTGGCACACACACCTGCTAGTTTGTTTTCAACAACGGTGACTCATATGTCGCAAATCTCCAGAATGGGACAAAAGACAGACCTTTGGAAGAGACACGGAAAGACACAACCCTCTCCACCCCTAGTTACGCCACTGCCTTGGTCAACACTTCCATCGTATGTGCACAAAATGAACGTGTGTTGGTTATTAAACAATCATGTAATTTACGGTGGAAAGCTACCCAAAAAAGCTTAACCTTTCTTTCACTAACTTCTAGCAGGAAGTAACTATCGATGTAATTATGTACGTGTATAAACAGACCAATAGATACATGGAAGCTTAAGGGAAAAGTGAGTCAGCTTTTCTGTTAACTGCTTCTACACCGAATCGAGAATTCACACTAAGTCATTTCAAAATTACTTTTAGAAATATATCAGGGACCTTACTTTACTGTTGATACCATCTTGTTGACAATACCAGACTAAAACAGGCTAAAATGCCATCAACATCAAGGCACTGTAAATTCCCCACCTTAACAGCATAATTTCATGACAATATGTGACACTACACCATTTCCAGTACCCTGCTCTTTCCGGATACCAAACTGTATGACTTTTAAACACTGGAATCACATACTTCATAGTGCATTACTTCAAGATGGTAAAAATATCAACATTTCATAGGCAAGCAACCAAAAACCGCACTGAGCCTAGCACAGCCTATACCATCAAACCTTCCAGATGTACACAAACAGTGATACAGTTCCTTGAACAACATCCATTTTAAAAGGTGACAAGATGGGGCTGGAAAAAGGGCTTTGCTTATGTTACCAGTTAGCGCACACCAATTTTTAGTTGTTCAAACGGCAATACTCTAAATAGGTTACACAAGTAGTGCACCAAGGGTTATTACACAAGAAATCAACTTCGTACTTGCCCTAAAAAAGAAAGAAAAAAGAAACAGAAAAGTACATGCATCTACAAGAAGGCAAACTTGGGTTTTAAACAGATCTAGTTGAAAACTGCATGTTCAACCCTGTTCTTCAAGTGCAAACTAATAGGAAAACACATATACATGTATCCTAAAACCAAATATGAACATCTGTTTTCATTTGTTCATAACAAATAAATAGCAAACTAACAGAAACATCCAATTCATGTAAGGGAACAAGGACTGGATAAAACATATAGGAAGATGTTGGTTGGGAAAACTACGTTGAAAAGGAATAAACCTTGAATAACTGACGGCATAAAAATCAAAGAAATGTTTGAAAATAACAAATGGAAAAAACACAATCGGAAAGATGGATACCACTGCAGTTATAGACTTCTAAAATTACTGTTAAGCCGAGGGGCTAATTTCATGAGCGAAGAAAAGTTTCCTGAGCCATCGGAAAGTTCACTCAGCAAAAAATGGGTTACAAGCCACTTCATGCTCTGCATGTATATACCGCTCACAGCAAGCTAATACATGCATCTGCTTAACATAGGTATCTGTTGAGTAATGTCCTTTGACTTACAGCTCCATGAGAAATTAACCCTCATGGGGTAAAGTGGCTGGACGTACAAGTTAAAATATATGCTTCTCAAGCAGGGCCTTTCCCTGTATTTTTTTAAGACTGGAGTCATATCAAAGCCTAGAAGGCATAGAAGTGAAACATTCGCCTCGCAAAGTGTCCAGTCACAAACTCTGCTTTCATCAGTCCAATTAACAGTGAAAATGAAACGTGACACAAAGGACTTCAACCTTGGAAAACACTCCAGCAGAACGACCACAGTTGAGGCTCAGGAAGTCCCTTTACTTTCACAAGTGCATAAAATTTCAGCTAGCCTGTCACAAAGATTCAATACATGTAGGTCACTTTCTATGTCTGTGGAATTTGACAACAATATGCCAACTACCTGTAGCATTGCCGATCTTAATTCATTTTAACGCAGTTTTCACAGGGGGGAAAAAAGAAAGAAAAACACACCAGTTGTTTTCACAATCTACAAAGTTCAAAGTCACTCTCTTTTGCTCAAGCTTTGAATCTAGAGAACAATGCACTGAAAATGTTTCTTTGATTGCAAAAAGAAAGATCATTCCTAGCAGAGTATGTACAGACCTTGCTCACAGTCAGCAAGAGAAATGTGCATTGCTGTTCACCAAAAAAAAGGAAAAAATCACATAGTTATACATCAACTATTTAACAAAGCAAGATACAAAAACCAAACAAAACCCAAGCCTCTGAAAACTGTTTTAACTTTTTATGATGACTGGAAGCTTAAAGCAAAATATGTCCTTCTTGTCTTGGTCAAGTAGTTCCCACTGCACGTAGAGTTCAAGCTGCAACAAAAAAGCACAAATATCAAAATGTAATTTGAATAACAAAGCCTTGTGCATATGTATGTATCCAACTGCACAGCGAAGAATCCAATGATCATGGTAATGCTATGACTGGTCAGTGGCATAACCCCTTCCCCGTATCCCTCCCCCCCCCCAATTTTTTTGAAATACACCCAACCTATGTACAAGCTACAGTTTATTTGCTTCCAATGCCCCCCTTGAAAAACTGTATTCGCTCCTGAGTGCAGCATCAGAAACTTCAACTCCTAACTACTGTCACTGGTCATTTGCGGTGGCCCCCGGTAATGGCAGCAAAGCATTGAAATAACTGTACAGCCATAGTTCTGTGACAGACACACCATACAAAACCTGGCACTAAAGTGTGGCCTCTGGAAATGTCCAGGAAAACATTGCTGGATTCATCTACAATGATTTAACAAGCAGGTGAACAGCCATTAAGGCTCATGTGCTGATCAGCAGGCAATCTAGGGCATGTTCGAGCAATGGTCACTTTGGCTCGGTACCCAAGTAATATTTTTGTGCAGTGATTACCAAGGAAAATCAACAGGCTCTTTTGCTTAGTCTTGTTTCTAGATTAATCTGGTCCACAATTCTGTTTCATTCTCCATGTGCCAGCTTTCCAAAAAAAATTAGGCCAGAGAGGAACTTTGGTGGTTTTTGAAATGGATTTACAAGGAACAGCTAAATGGTTGAAGTGGACAGATTGAAACAGAAAAAGCCAGATAATATTGGGGGATGCAGAATCCACAGAAAAACTAGCAGAGCGGTTGTAAGAATGACAACACCACACAGCGACTTGTACATTTTCACATGAAATCCACCTGGCTGGTTGGGCTGTGACAGGGAATTTTCATTTTAAACCTGATTCACATTGGGCCAGAAAAAAATGACGCGTTTCCACAACTTTCTAGTTTACCACCCAAAGCTTGAAAATCACAAGGAAATATGCTATTATTTTCTACAAAATATTAAACAAAATAAAAAAGTATGGTGCCCACCCAGACGGAGATAGTTTGCTATCATGTGTTTAAACCTTTAACCAACCATTACATCAGTGACTATGCAAAGTATAAAATAGATCAGAGAGTCACTTGCAAAAAAGTTTGATAAACATTACTCCCACCCTAATATTTGGCCTAAAAATTATCCACCAAAGAAACATACTTTTGGCAGCATGTATGCTGTATAATCCACCCTGAGCCTAAGTGCATCCTCACCGGCAAAAGAAAGACAGATGGTACTAAGTTTTCCAACCAGGTTCTTGCACGTGTTTGGCGTGCATGCGAAGGCCATACATTCCAGAGTAAATTCATTGTGTGTACTAAGCGTGCTCCACGTCAAACGCGCATAAACTTACGCGCCTTTGCAGTGAATGCATACCAAAGGACAGTCAATTTCATTTCAAACACGCCCCCTTTTGTTCCTGCTCGGAGCGGATAGGCTCATGTACTGATGATGTCATACTCTACTTGCATGTGCACATTCCTCTGTAGACAGTCTGAGTGTCACCTGTTCTACTCCACCATGTGCACAGACGTCTGGTAACCGCATGCATGCAGTCTTTAGGCCGTGTGGCGTATCATCCAATCAGAGCTGTCATTTTTCATCCGAACGGTGGTGGAGTATATTGATTGGTCAAATCATGACTTGGCAGATGATGGCATTAATGAAGGGTGACTCTTATTTTAGGAATTGCTCAACTTTAACCGAAGTTCAAGCTATGGACCAGATACATCAAGAATTAGGCTTAAGTGCTTCTATTATAGTAAAGTAAGTAAAATTGAAAATCTTGGGAAACAACAGTTTCCAAAAAGTTTTTACCGGACCCTGACTCCAACCCCACTACTTGCATGCAAAATGCTTTCCGGCCAAAGGTACAATAAAAGACACCTCCTGATCAGCCAAAATCACAGGGTCTTGCATAATTAATCACGAAATCTCCAAAGATGTAATAGAGATTCATCTGCAAGAGTCTGTCTATTACATTATAAGACAATATGAGCCCTTTGCCCACTGCAAATGGGAAAGCATCATGGGAAAGCTCATATGCAAACAATGTGTGGCATTAGTCGTCAGTGCAGAGGTCTATTATCAGAAACTCAGCGACAATGGCTGTTTCTCATCACTTACGGAGGGATAATCTTTCTTCACGTAGAGCTTGGCTTCGTAGAGATTTTTGCTGGATGGCATCAAGGGGCATTTGATATTTGCTTTATCGCAGGCATCCGTGTAAGCTGTCTTATAGGGCAAGAGCACACCATCGATGAGCCCATGAACGCTTGTGTTGGCAGTCTTTGCCATTTGATCACCTGTTGCAGAAAGAGGTGTGTTAGACAATAGAGGATTTGTATGGTAGGCACGTTGCAAGGCAGTTATTTTGTGCATACCCTGTGGAAAACAAGCACTGGCCTGCAAGATGGCAGCCGTGCAAACCCATACAAACCTATATGACTTAACATTGACTGTAAATGCAATGTGAATTTTGATTTACTCACAATTCAAATGACATGGCTGACTTGGGATGTGACCTATTGACTCGTGTGATGTATGACTGACTTGTGATTTGAATTGCGAACTTGACAACAGAAAAATAATGCAAATCTACAGGAAGCACAAGAGCGCAGATTTTAAAACTAATAGGGTAAAAACAATGCGATTACTCAATACAGTTTTGTCTGAACAGGTATTCATTATTTGAATTAGTTTTACATTGTGGCGATCATCATATTTTAGACTTTATTCATTTGGGTTATTTTCCATGGGCATAAAAGATTCCTTTCATAACTCATTAGTGAAAGAAAAAGTTGAATAAAATAAGGAACAGGTATCCTAAATAAAAATTTTGAATGACTGGAGTGGGGGATTCTCACACATTAAATGCAATACTCACTTTTCATAGTAAAGTCAATGGCAAATGAAACATTGTTCCCTTTTATAACAGTGCACGGCGGAGTAGGGCAGCCTGACACGGTGACCTTGTTGATAATTCCTGTCAAGGTTTTATCAGCTGTTTTCAAGCAAAACGAGACCCCAAATTAGTGATAAATATCAAGCACCAGTACACTTGTGTTCAATCTCCATATAAAACATTGGAGAGTCAAGGCGGACGAAACAACAGACAGAGTCCTAAATGTCAACACGGTTGGACATGGTAAGTCACACTTGGGCGTTATCTGTGACAACGCATGGGAGAAGATGACCTGACCGTGGGAATTTAAAAAGTGCAGGGGGGGTGGACATCTTATGACACTAGTAGAGGGGTGCTGTTCACAACACAAATACATATCTTACGTATACTTACTCCCCTTAATCTTACATTGAAATGGCGTTTTCCAAGCTTTTGTCATTTTCTGCCTTTTTCAGTACTACAGAATACAAACTGGGTATTGAGAAGTAAAAAAAACACCTCAAACTCCTTTTTTTTCTCACCACAAAAATGGGAGAGGGGAGGGGAAATGATCCAATAGCCCCCCCCCCCGGTCAAACAGCAGGAGATGCATGTACATGTATAAAACATTTACCCCCAATCCCCTCTCCTCCAGGAGAGAAGGGGGGGTCACCCTGCTGGTGACCAAACTAGCTTTCCTTTTCACTGCACAGGGGATACCAGTTATTCATCAATTGCTGTATGCACTAAACATTTGGGTGTGCAGGATTTCAATGACCAAAGGATGACAAAACCACTTTTGTTTCATATAGATTAGTAATGCAGAAAAGTCAGCACTGTCAGATCTTGATCATGCTTGGCATAAATGTGCATCAATTTTGGGAGCCGAAAGGGATGTTTGCAATATCAGAATTTTCATTGTAATGATGTTTATTTAGTCACGTTAGTATAGCCGTGTTCCGCGCAATCTTGACTCTTACACAAAAATGCACTGGAAATAGGAACCAGACAAGTCTAGACCAACAACTAATGGATCATGGATTTTATTTCCTTAAAAAAAATCCTCCAGGGGTATGAATCTACTAAAAAAGAAAAACACAAACATATGTAAGAAGTAAACTCGTTATCTAATTGAGCAAATACATGTAAAACAATTAAGGGGGAAAAAGGAAAAAAAATCCCATGACGAGTGGGCTCGATCCTGACATGTCAGGACTGCAAGCGCAGCGTGTGTACCGTTTGTGCCACCGCAATGCCAAGACATTGGGAACTTGAAATCTTATACAGATTGGCAATGATAATTGTGTAATGCTGTAAGTCACATTACAGTTACCGTAATGGAATCAGGTCTCCCTTACCGACTCGCCCCTTACCGACTCATCCCTCACCGACTCACCCCTAACCGACTCGCCCCCTCGCCAACTCGCCCCCTGATCGACTTGCCATCAGTATCAGATTGCGTATGTGTCGAATTTACTATAACCGCGCTTTCTCCGCATCTTGGTTCGACCATTTTCGGTGGCGAGGTTAGCATCTTTACTTGTTTTCATTGCATGACCGCCATCAGGACACGATGCGCAACATGCACTGGGCTGTGTAGCTGTGACAGACTGTGAGACTTAGAAATCCCAAGCCACCGAAAATGGTCAAACCAAGATGCAGAGCAAGCACGGCTATTGGTAAAGCTCGACACGCGCGCAATCTGATAGGTGATAAACACAACGGCATGAAAGTAGCGATCGATGGCGAGTGGAAGTGAGAGACTGGTGAGCAAAAATCTCATTTTTTTAAAAAAATAGGCCAACTCAGTCTCATGCTCTGAAACCTTGTTCCCCCTTTTCATAAGCCTTGCTGTCAGGGGAAATTTTGATTGAATAGCTTTGTTACACCTGTGAATCATTCACCTATCAAGTTTGATTCCAAAAAGCCATAGCGTTACGACACCATGTAATCTGTACTGGCGCCGTCACATCATGGAAGGAAGCAGCATGACAGAGTAGTGACTACAGTGTACATGTACTTTACTTTGAGTTCTGGAAGTAAGAACCTGCTTGAGCATTGTTGAGCTTGAGTTAGGCCCTACAAATTTAGTTTTTTTACGGATAACTTACTGCATGGTAGATATTGTGTCGCGTGGCATGTACTTGCTGCCACTGCCAACACCAGGACCACAAAATTTGTCAAGTTTGTAGAAATCATGGTGATTTTGAAAGAGATCGTGACAAAGTTTTACGTTGACCAACTACCGACCGACTGGCCTCCTTTCTTCCAGGACTTCTCTGAAAAGCCCACGTGACATATCACAGTAGTGAGTCACGTGCCATCAGGTGATCCTATCACAAAGAGGGCGCTCTAAAAAGCACTGGACTTGAAGCTCTTTCGACAGTTGTGACAAAATACCCCACTTCAAAGATCAAGAAAGACATTCAGGAATTTCCCTGGTGTTGGAGACACATCACATCAAAGCTCCTTTTTGTCATCTTTCATTTGGTTTTCAATTTTAGTGTGCTAATTGGTGACTTTCGAAGATATCGCTATCCAAACATGATCACCCCTAGGCCCTAAAAGTCCTTTATAATTTCAAAAGAGTGATATGCCACACTCAATTGTCTAGTGTTTCCAGAAAACAAGCCCTCAGTCCTACTTTTAAGTCCAACCCTTCTTTCCAGCAACCAGTTTCGTCCTTAATTGAAATAGCAAAGAATTCGAGGGTATGTCAATCGTAATGTTGACCCCCCAGGTACCGTTCTGCTACATGGCCTGAAAGTCAAGATTTTGTCGACCAACAGATCAGGGCGCGCATTGTTTGGGTCAACCAAAATCTTGCAGCACAATATAATACGGCCGTTTCACAAGAGTGCGCCACCAAGAGTTTGCCACGCGTTGGCCAATCACAATGCGCGACAGTTGTCGACCTAATGCGCGTTTAGAAAGGGTCGACAAATTTCGAGCGTTGTGATTGGCCAACGCGTTGCAAACTTTTGGGGGCGCCCTATTGTGAAACGGCCGTATTGTAATCAACTGCACTATTATTATGGCAGCTGACGTAAGGCCTAACCGTGCAGCACTTGGGGGATGTCTGCACAATTATTATTATACCTAGTCTCGAGATGCCACGAAGTGTTGCTGGCCCTGTAATGGTGAGACTTAGTGAGACTGAACATAATCACTTTACCAGTCAGTATGACCGGAACCCGGCGAATTCGGGGACTCCTTTAAACTCCTATTACAAATCGGCGGAAGATTCATATTGGAGGACAAAAGGAATTGTGGACCCGCCGTGCCAAATGGCGGGACCGCCACAGCTCAGTGATGCAGTCAAGTACTTAGTACAAGAACTGATTTTCAACTTGAGGTACGAGTACTTGTATCTCCCAAGTACAAGTACTTCTAATTACGAGTACAAGTCAGAGTCCAGGTAAATATTCAAATTTCTTTGTCAAAATGTTTTAAATTTGCAACTGATTGTTTTTATAAAAATCTGCCATAGCATTCCCAAATGTTTAGGTGAAGTTGCAGATTATTTAGTCCCAAAACTGTGTACGTGTATTTTTGGCTCCTTGGCAAAACACACAGTAGCCTACCTCGATGCTCGAATACAATTTTATTCCGACTATTTTACAGCCCGAGTACAAGAACTGTTGTTCGAGTACGAAAAGTTGGACATTCGAGTACAACTGAGACACGAGTACTCTGAAATGGAGTGGTACGCGACTAGTAGTACTCGAATACGAGTATAGGCCTACCGATTTCGAGTGCTACAACACTGCTGCCGCTGTGGTCCATCATGTATAGTCCTCATGGTGTTAGGTTGGCACCGCACCGCTGGCTGTCATTACTATCTTCAATTATCGGTAGCAGTATTATATTAATCAACAACACAGCTATTGCGTCAGATAATTCCTACATTTATAACAGTATGGTCACTGATGATGAAACGGTTGAAAAATAGTGATTTTGGACTCATACACAGCAAGATAAGAGTAAAAGTTAGCCAATTAGTTCACGATAGGACCAGCTTACATCGGCTTTACTCATTTGCGCCGAGGAAACTAAATTCACAAATGGTGTAACTCAAATAGAAAGAGTTGCTACAACAATCAAGGCTCATCCCGTTTTACAGTCGTTTCTCTTTAAGAATCAAGACAAAGGAAAATGTTGAACATAATAATTTTCTGTGAACATTGAGGATATGGTTTAATTTTCACATCGACTTAAGTTTAGAGCATCATTTTCGTGAATCGCCACCACTAAAACTTTTAACAGTCACTTGGCCCAATCATTTTCAGGGGGCCCACCGCTACAGCAGCTTCTCATCGTACTTCCGCACTCTCACATGGCACGTATGCTGAGGTTATAGAGACCACTCCCGTCAACTTCCATCTTAAACAGCCGACTAGCGCCAACGGTATATCCAGAGAAGGTTGGGCCAATTACCCCTCCCCCCACATGTTACCTTTTTTCTTTTTTACATTCATTTATTTGTTTTAGGGATTGAAAGCTCCAGCTTTTTAAAATCGGTACGACCACTTAATCGAAAGGGGGACCGGGGTCACGTAAAGATTCTTACAAAACTACGGTTGGGCAGTCGTTTTGGCGGAAGAGCCCATCCCCCAACCCACTGATGGTCTTTCTTGTGTTTACAGCGAGTTGGTAGACACCTTATTACAATTAGTTGTACTACACCAGCAGATACACCTCGGGAAAGCAGAATAACCTTCGGAAGCTAAATTTAAATTCACCATGCATGAGCTCGTAAGATGATAGGGTTCAACACATTGATCTCTTTGATTATAGAGAACGGTGATTCAACACCACAACGAATTTACAGAGCGCCCTCTTGGTAAACCGGCTGAGTTGACTGTTGCTATAGTCACCATAGTTCCTGTTAACACCCCCACTCTCCTGTAGTACGCTAACGGATATAGGCCTGATCATTTCCCCACTAAGCATCTAAAAATTAAGTAATTACTTTTTTAAAACCCAGAAGGAAAAGTAATGTGAATTTTAATAACAAAGTGCTATTTTTATTCAAGATTTTGAATGGTTTCAGAAATACTTTTATACTATTGCAAAAGTGATGCGCCGTTCATCCATTAAATATAGTTCCGGAGTACGCGAAATGTGTATTGGATTAGTTCCGGTATATATATCGCATGTAATAATAACGAGCCTTGAACAGGTGTACGTGAGCTGCATGTACAATGTCCATAGCAGGTGAAGATAAAGTGCTTCAGAATGAGTTGTAATTTTTTAATCCTAGTTACTTTACCTTTGTCTGTGTGATGAAACTATGGATTGGATAACTAACTGTTCAACTGTTGTAGTTGCCTCTGTCTTAGCCACTTTTCAGCTAAATTTATTGATGCTGAATTGGTGAATTACCTGCGACACCATGCACAGTGAGTTATGTTTACCATTTTTATCCGTAAGCCCCCATGATCATATTTTTGTTTGTTGCCAGACTTCGAGTTTTTATGCTGTATTGGAACATTAACTCTATGCCATGTTATAAATTTGGCTGTCCTAGATCGCAGAGTATCCCGCCACCCAAAAACATGCCTGAAAATTTATGCATAGGTGTAGGCCAGTGAAAGATGTGAAAGCACTGCCGCGCACATGGCCCACTGCCAGTGAGAACAACTGCGTGAGTTAGAAAAAAGTTGAATCCAAACGGACTACTTTGTTGCAGGCTACGTAGCTATGGAGTCAGGGAGCAATAAAAAAAAAAGATGTGAAGTGATGTGCAAGTATGAAACTCTTTCCTGCGAACCAGATGGGAAATTTAGTCTCCACCGGGGAGTCCAACGTCAGCACTATACTTTGAGAACTCAAACCCACTACTCCATCTGACTTACTTTGAACCAATACATACAATTTACATGGTGGTGTAACGCTATTGGTTTTGGAATCAAACTTGATAGGTGAATGATTCACAGGTGTGACAAAGCCATTAAATCAAATTTTCCCTGACAGCAAATCTGAGTAATTATAGCTGTTAAAAAGGGGGATGAACAGGGTTTGAGGGCATGAGACACAGTACTTTTGAGAAAAATAAGATTTTTTCTTACCAATCCCACGCTTTCACCTGCCAACGATCGCTCTGTTCATGCGTCTTGTTTTTATCAGATTGCGCATGTGTCGCGTCCACCAATGGCTGCGCTTGCTCCGCATCTAGGTTTGACCATTTTTGGTCAGGAGGGAGATTTCTAAGTCTCGTAATCTGTCACAGCTATCCTGATGGCGGTCACGTAATGAAAACTAGTGAAGATATAAAAGTTGCAAAAGTTACAGTACCCATTATTTGATGCTTGCAATCGTAAAAAAGTGTGATATTTGCAAAATTTGCATAAATGTCCATTATTTCCCTTGTCTTTTTTTCTCTCACTCTGTAGAGTATCGAATCCTTGGGAAGAAGGGTGAGGGAACCTTTTCAGAGGTTCTAAAGTGTCAACACATCAAGGATGGGACCTACTACGCCTGCAAGAAGATGAAACAAACTTATGACAGGTACATGTACATGCATGCACATCTGTGCAAGTGGTCATTGATTAGTGGAATTGGGGATAGACACCTGGGCCGGTAAATCGCACTGCATTTTATGCAAGCTGCGAGAGATTTCGTGTTTTCCGTCTTACTGTGTTGTGTTATTCCCAGGACTAGAGAGTACTTTTGAGAAAAAAAGCAGTGTGCTGGATAGTTTAACTTATTTGACGGGATTACATAGCCCCAAGAGTGACACGTACGTACCCGTACATAGGAAATTGCAATATGGTTTTCAGTAAGCAGCGATTAGACAATTAACATTTATAAACATCACAAAAATGTAACCTTCATATCATCAGAGAGTGCTTAAGTTTTGAAAAGAAAAGTTGGCAGCGCTTTCCCCCTCAAAAGAGAAAACAGATGTTTGCATTTGATGTGCAAACTAACAGCAGTGTGTGTTTGGTCTCCTTTAGTTTGGAACAAGTCAATAACCTGCGAGAGATCCAGGCCATGAGGAGGCTGAGTCCGCACGAGAACATCCTGGAGCTCATTGAAGTCATCTTGTAAGATTTGTTCATTTCATGAGATCTGAAATACCAGTCTGTGCAGCAGTGAAAGATGGCATGTTTTTTTTTTTTTCTACCTAACAAAGATGTCCTTGTGATAATGCAGACACAAAGCGTGCGTACAACAAGGGTGGGGATTGGCAGCTTGGGACATGGCCCTCAACAAAAAAAGGGGGATAAAATAAATGATGAAATTAAGACCATTTTTGGCTCCATTTTATATTTTCTTTCTTTGCTTCCTTCACATGTAACCTCACCTCTCAGAAAGTTCGTCAAAGGTTTCACAAAAAATTCCAAAATTTTGAAAACGATTTTGGGCCTCCCCTTCAATATTTGTTTTTGGATGCACCCTTTACAAGCGCAGATTGGTACCCTTGACACTGATGATGCTCAAAAGGTTGTAGGCTCTGTGCTATGAAGAAGAGGGAATTGTTGTAAAGCAAAGACTTCATTTGGGCTAGTACTTACACTCCACTGGTTGATACGATGTGCCTCACCTCATTTACCTATTCAATGTGTGAATCAACTCATTTGGGAGGGCTCCTTAAAATTTGGATGCATGTACATTTACCTGTCGGCAAGTCACAGCACCCTATTGGCCGAAGAGGCTTGTATGATACTATACATGCATCTCCTGCGTGTGGACGTTTGCCATCGCAGGAATGGCTTCTGGTCCCTGAGGTAGTCTGTACCAAGGCAGATGGAAGACTGTTCTCATCCTTTCCGTTGCTGCAATGTTTACATGTATGGAGATGGAAACCAGACAATCAGCCCAGAACCATTCGCTGGTGAAGGGTACTTGCATGTACATGTATTCATAAAATCAATGGGATGTTTTAAATTTTTGCTAAATCAGCATGGCGTTATCTTTTGGGGAGGGATATTTGTGATCCAGTCTAACAAACTGAGTCACTAATCACAATGTAAGATGTATTCACCTTTTGAGTTGCATACATGTAAAGGCCTTCAGAAGAATCTAGCTCACTGCAGATCACTTAGAACCATCAACATTTTTCCACCCAATCAATGTCCGTTTTCCTCAGGATGCCAAAACAGGCGATACGTCAAAACAAAGAACTTGGTGTGGTCTTTGTTTAGAAGGCAAACCGAGATTAGATGAAAACACAAGCTTCAAATTTACACGTATGTTGTAAAAACTTAATGGAAAAACAATCAGGCTTATCTTGTGAGAAATGTAATGAAAAAAAAACCTTCAGGCATGCACTTTTATCTTTTTTTAAAACATACTTCCTGCTCACTTGTTAAAAAAACCCCGAGATTGATGATATCCCTTCTGTACCAGTGTCTGTGGCAGGTTGAAATAAAGCAAATTTGACCTCCTCTTACAGTGTTCTCTCCATTTATCTTCCCTTTATTTGGCAGTGATAAAAAGACAGGGACCCTGGCTTTACTATGTGAGCTAATGGATATGAATATATACGAGTTAATACGAGGTAAGCAGTATTCCATGCTTATAAATTATCCATCAAAAAAGAGATCTATCACCTCTGCATCAATGAATTCAATACACTTGGTGTTAGCATTAATTGTATGGATTTTCCTTCGTGTAGATTAATGACATCCATGTAATAGATCCTGATTGGAATATTTCGTCAATATCTCTTTTCCGTAAATAACTGTACATACTGTCGCTTCAGACTGCAGTTACAAGAATATTTGGCACCTTTTTTGCCATTGTGAATTAATGTTATTTCCCAAATTCAAGAGTCCTGCAGTGTTTTTGTCTGTTTGGTAACAACCATGGGTACATGTACATGTATAAAGTGAGACATAATCACGGCAACCTGTTGAGCTGATGTGAATTTGTAAATTCATTGTGGCATAAACCCTCAGGAGTCTAGAGATACTGTAGGCAAGTCACAAAAGAGAGTATACTTTAAACTCCAAAAGGACAAGATGAAGTTAACTCCCAAAGTCTGGCAAAATGGGCTTGACCTGTAACCCTAATTACACTTTAGACCCCATGGAAGCAAGTACAGTACCTACACATGTAGTTACCAATACTTGGAAGCTTCCACATACAATGCAGGTACATGTATGCTTTGATCCTGTGCCAAACATGCCCAGCATATCCCCAAAACCTTATAAATAGGCATGCTGCAATCCTCGGAGTCGAGGCTGCCACTGTGATGTGTTCTGCTGTTAGCATTTTAATTCCGTGGCATGGGGATTTACTGTGCATTGGAGTGTTAATTCACAGCAGCGGCTTTATGTGTCCAACGTCTGACTAGCACAAAAGGCAGGAGTAAAAGAAAATTGTGGGTGGTTCTAAGAACGGAATGTTGGATTTAGGAGTTGGTTGTGAGGAGAGGACTGGAAATGCAAATTTAAATATGAGTGTGTGTTCTTTATGCAAGTATGTCACAAAAGTATGCAGATTAACAAATGTACATGCTTCGGCATCTTCCTCCTTCTCTACACCTGTGCCTACTGAAGTGTGCCAGTCTTTTTTGCGTATCACAATTTGATGAATAATCACTTTGAAAGGTGTCATGTAAGTGCACCAAGGCATGACTAATAGCAAAGTAACTGCACTGTAGCCTATGCATATGTGACTGGCATCTGAATGCTGTTGGCAGCCTTGTGGTTGCTAAGGCAACCAGGGTGGTCTCCAGTGGGAATGTTTGACATTTGAATGCGTGCATTGGATTATGCAATTGTTTTTTCCCCCTAGTTCTGCTGTACCACTATCAAAAAATCTTAACTGTGGCATGGCAGTCTCCATATGGCATCACAATTTTGAATAGTGTGGTGTAGTTGCTTACATGTACACATGTATACATGTACATGCATACATACATGTACATGTTGGAATAGCCAGAACATATATGGAACAAGCAAATACATGTACATGTATTTGAATAGGTCACTTAAGAGTATTGTTTGTTTACTTTTACATTTAGGGTCAAATGTGTTGGTGCCTCTTAGGGGATTTTTATAGATAATTCCATCACTAGATGCCAACAAGTACTTCACTTTGTAAAAGTAACATTGCAGATCATCAGTGTTGTATTTGAGTACTTTTTTCCGAGCACAGAATACTGCCAAATACTTAAATTTCCAAGTACCTAAAAGTCCAGGGACTTTACCAGCTGAGTAACAGAACTGATTTTCAAGTACGAGTACTCGTATCTCCGAGTGCATGTATGAGTACTTCTAATTACGAGTACAAGTCACAGTACTTCATGTCTGGGAAATAGTCAAATTTGTGTGAAAATGTTAAGTGAGTATGAACAATGGATCTACAAATTTTTTTGCAACTGATTGTTTTCATTAAAATCTGCCATAGCATTCCCAAATCAGTATGTTTAGGTAAAGTTGCAGATTAGATTTAGTCCCAAAACTGTGTCCATGAATAGGCTCCTTTTCAAAACACAGAAGTACAACATTTATACAGCAAGAGAAAGATCATCAATTCTGATGCATTGACAACAGCAAAAGCATTTACTCAGAGGTACATTGTAAAATGGAAAAGCATCAAGAGTAAGCAAATGCCATTGATGCATGGCCCAATTTCACACAGCTGCTTAAGCACAAAATTTGCTGAAGTGCCAAAAAGGCCTTGTTCAAAAACAAAGGTTACAAGCTAAATCTCTGTGTGGTTGTCATACCGACCAAAAACATGTAAATAAGGCCACTTAAAAAAAGATACAAACCTGTAGTTTAGCATCAGTTGTATTTGCAAAAAATGAGGAGGGAGGAAGTTTTTTTAAAAAATACTTTGGTATCATGCTGATCTTGACTGCCGCAACCCTGGAACGAAAGTGCCATGTTCCCTTCAGGCTCGTGCACAGAAGTGCATGTGACAGTGTGTATGTACTCAGGTCACATGTGCGTGCATGAGGTTGTGTGGGCATTGTAGAAACTACAGGGGACGGCTAAGGACATCGGGAAAGACAACTTTTAAAGAAAAAAAAACATGCAGCAAAATTTTTTTGAGGCGGATGCTGATGCTAAACTAATTATTTTTTATGTGGCCTAACATTCCAAAACAATATACCGGTACATGTACATGGAGTTGTGATTGGTGATCTGTGCATAACATCACACGTGGCCATGTGCAATGTACATGTACCAGTATGACTCTTGACTTGTGATGCATTATAAACGAACAATGTGAACACGTAAATGTGGATGCGTGAAGTCTGTTTTTTACTCAATTTTATTCTGAGTATTTTGCAACCTGAGTACAACAACTGTTGTTCGAGTACAAGAAAGACACAAGTACTCTGAAAATAGTACTTTAATAATACTCGAGTAGTGGTTCTTAGTACGAGACTCCACGAGTACTACAACACTGCAGATCATATAAGTACTATATTTCTATGAAGACATTTGTAATCCCCTGATATTTGCTTTTTGGTATCTTTAGGAAGATCTGACAGGTTGTCGTAATAATAGCAAATCTACTCAATTTTCCAAATAAACTTACGTGTTGTGTAGAAACCTGGTTCTTGGGAATCTTGCGTCTGAAACATGTATTCTTTCACTTGCGTAGATTTTAGTTTGCTCTACCATGTCTATGGTCAAGATTGACTTTTAGACTTCAGCAAGTCCTTCAGCTCACCTGCCTTGATTCTCACAAATCTCAACATCACTGGTGGCAAACACCTGGCAAGTCGTGCCCTCTCCTCGGACTCTCTGACACAAGTGTCCCCTACACCTAGAAAATTTTCTACACCCCGCCAAATTTTTTTTACCTACGTCACCCCCGGTGTTTATCTATTCTTCCTGCGAAACTGTCTAGTTTTAAATAAAAAATACTGCATGGAAACATACTGGTGCACTAGCCAAATTAAATCAATAATTTGTTTCTTTACATGCACAACTCATTTAACTTAGAACATGTTGGGCTACTTTGCGTAAAAATGTATGTTAAGAGTTGTTTTTCTACAACAAACTAATCTCACTTGGTGACACACGGTTTCGCTTTAGTGCATGTGTTCGATACAGCTGTGTGCAATCAGTTCAGGGGGAAAAGTTTTTGTGGAAGCCCGCAGAACTCAGCAGGATCCATCAAAATGGGTAGGCTGATTGCTGAATATGAGCAAATCATGCAGTTGTATCAGCCTCCAACAAGGCTTCCCGGCTGTTTGGCATGATTGGGATGAAAAACAAAACCTTGTCTGATAATTGGATTGTCTGTGCTGTTTTTCATTCACAGGGAGACGGCATTATCTGGCTGAAATGAAGGTGAAATCGTACATGTATCAGTTACTGAAATCCCTGGATCACATGCACCGGTAAGTTGCCATCAACTGGGAGTGTGCATTGGACCCAAGTACTCGAGTATCCAACCATTCATGTCAGGAATTTTTCATACTACTTGGCAGGGTCCCCATAACTTTTCAGAAAGTAAATGAAAGATTGTGAAGGTTTTGGGAGGATATTTAGAAATGCTGAAACAGATTTCACTGTAACCTGCAAAGATTGTTGAGAGTTTTGGTAAATTAGAATTTACCTCTTGGATGTTCCCTTCATGTTTTTTTCTTCTGTGAATTTGGTATTGGCTTTCTCCTACCAGTCCCTGGGTACAACTTTTCTATTTCAGTAGGTTACCCAGTTCCTGTACTTTGTGAAAATGCACACAGTGCTATCACAAACGGCAATATTTTCAAAGAGCTGCATTCTAGGGCTGAGTCAATTTGAATAATTCACTATTAGAATATTCAACCTTCAATTTGATCAAATATCCAAATATTCAGTCTCACCAACAGGGAGGTTGTTGATGAACAAACCATATACAAAATCAGTTGCAGTAGCACACAAAGTCATACATTATGATCAATATAATAGTTTCTCATATCTAGGAGTATCTCCAGCCATGATTTAGCAAGATTTAAGAGATGAACAAGACTTCTTGCCCTGTTGAAAATTTCTATTCCTTTTAAATTGTTTACAGGATAAGGTACTTTTTACATGGTTGTAAGATTTCTGACGGTTTTCATTTGAATCTGCTTGAAACAAGCCTCCATAGTGCAATTCTTCTCATTTAAAACAAAAGAAAATTTTGCATTTGAATATTCAAATTTGAAACACAATATTCGAATATTCGACAATCGATCAAATATTTGGTTATTTGGATATTCGGCATAGCCTTACTGCATTCTTCACAAAAAATTCTCACTTACACTGTGTGATTATTTGGTCATTTATTTTAAACAAAATTACTTATTCTTCCAGTGCAAGGCACTTGACTGGCCTCGTGATACTGGCTAAGCATACAGACAATCTTAAAACTGTCAGTGTGCATTGAATTCCATCTTGTAGAATCCCTCCAGAATTTATAATGTCACTATAATGAACATTATGAAACATGTTTGTTTTGCCAAGAAGGCTTCCAAGAAGCCCACATTTTATTTTCATCCCGCAGAAGCAAACAATGGGCATCTTTTATCCTCGTATCAAATCTTTATAAGTCGCAAAGAACACAATTGCAAAATATAGTCAGAGGGACTCATGCGGTAGGCCATTACTAATGTTCAGCGTTGTTGCTCTATACCACCCAGACAGGGAGAGCCATAAATACGGTAACAAAAGGCTTACATTTTATCACGATGGTGGTCATTTTCAATTTCCATGGAGCCAGTCTGTCTTCTCATGCGTGTTCAGTCATGTATTGGCGAGAGATCAGGTCCTCTCAGTTTTAATGAGATTTGATGTGATTCTGGCTTTGATGGATGAGTCTTGATCATTACAAATATGCAGGTTACAACCATATCGCAGTCTCATTAAAGAGAATGCATGCATTTTGTAAAGTTTTTTCTTTGAATTGCTCTTAAACATTAATTTCAGAAATGGAATATTTCACAGAGATGTCAAGCCAGAAAACATACTTATTAAGGTGAGTCTCTGCATTTTCTTTCCTTTGACAGTCTTGTGAATGGTAAGAAATCTGTTACTCTTGCAACTATGAAAAACAGAGACTGTTTTCACTTTTCGTTTCCAGGATATGTAAGCTTATTTATGTCAGTTACCATGACAGCATGACAAAATGCTGTGGTTTTTTGTCATGGCATGTAAATATGGCATTACGTCTCTGGCAGAGAATGGATGAAAGAGCACGAAGGAGTGATGTACCTGTATGTACATGTATGTGATCACGTATGCAGACTTCTGCAATTGTCCTTGGTGGCATGTCATTTTTTATGCAATCTGCCACACCAATTTCATGCTTCATCTGGGGGGGGGAGAGATGGACTAAAAACTCAAAAACAAAACGACAGTGCATGGAGATGGTACGGGAAGTACACAACTGCTTGGGAAGTCTGAATATGTACTTGAACTATGCAGATATCGGTTTCTGCGGTTCCAGTGTACCGTAGAGAACAGGCTTTTGAATGCATTGCATGAGAGGAAGTCATATAACGTGAAATTATCCTCTTTGAAAAAATGGATTAATCTCTCTTGTGTTACCAATGTACATACAGTACATGTAAGCATGAGAGGCCAGACATAATGTTTACTGATGTTGCATGCTGTGTAATGCGTAGGCAGTGCAGTTATGCTGAAAACCAAGCATACATGTAACACTGAACTGAGTAAAGGATGAACCGCGGACGTGACTCACAAAATGTTGCATGATGTTAATGAGCATAATTCCACAATTTGCTTTCTTCACAAACCGTGCTGTGCTCCAAATGATAAAGCTGGCCCGAGAAAAGGTAAACGTACTTTGAAGCTTGCAAATCTCATTTCTCGTCCACATTCATGTGTGCAGTAGAATCATACAATAGATACATGTACATCTGTAGCTTTCAGTGAATACATAGTAGCTCAAGCAGCTTGAACGAGCAACTTTAAAACGTCTTTGCGTATAGTGGACATTAGGCAACAAGCACAGTAGAATTGGTAGCTCGGATCATGAAACTCCCTACCCCAAAACACCCCAAACAAAAACAAACACAGGTGCCATGTACATCAGATTGCTGTCTGTGTCCCATTCACACATTACTCGTAGAACTAGAAAGACACATTGCTTTTGTTGGACTTCGTCATTTCAAGCTTGACTGACCAATTTGTAACGGAATGGGCACTGATGTTTTGTACCTTAAATGAGAACATGTCTGAATGGGCAGAAATAGTACTGAGTTGTTTTGCCGTATTTTGTTGGTTGTTTGGGAGTGATGCTTGAAGTCAGTATTTTTGTGGTATCTGCTCCATACACTTTAGTAACAGTCACACAGCAAAATGGGGACATTTATCACCTATCGTTATCTGTTGTGCAATTAGTTGCAGACAGGACTGAATTTGAATGGCACATCAGGTCAAATTTTTGCAGAAGGCAACAGTTTTCCTGTGCCTGATCCATTGAGCAAATTCACACGTTGTACCCTTTGGGGACTAAGATTTGCCCACATAATTAAGTACTGCATTAGTTATTTTCAAACTTGTTCAAACTGCAGCCATATGCAGTTGTTTTTAAGAGAGAAAATGTAGGATTAGCCAAGTTGGGCACGTCTTAATTACTAGCTGGGAAATGGCTACAGCCATGACCATAGACGCATGCATTATTTCAAGGCACAGCCTTGTGCTTCTAAGTTAAGAAAGAGTCTGCTTATTAAAGTGGTCATTTCTGTCACTGAGAGTATTTTATTCTCTGTAATAGAAAATAGCATGATTAAGTATTCACTTTTTTCGTGCTGCATCGCATGAATTCATCCCACAAAACAATTCCACTTATGTGTAATCTGACTTTAAAAATGCTTGCCACATTTGTGCGTCCAGATGTTTAAGTATGAAACATTTCTTTTGTAGCTACTGTACATGTACGTGTAGACATCTTGAATGTGATTCTGATCATGCTTGTTGCATCCCAAACCTGGTGTACAAGTTTTGTGCTAATGCAGCATTTCAAGGATTTCAGTGGAACATTGTCAATACATACACGTGTGTAATGTGTTTCAGTTCATTAACTCCTAGTGACCTTGCCTTGGAAAAAAACAAATGCATGTAATTAGATTTAAAAAGCGAAGAAAACGTAAGTCAAAACTTGCTGAAATAGTTATCTGAGGTGTGGGTTCTTCTGTCTTCAGAAGGCATGCATTCGGCAAAATTTCTCATGCACAATTACATGTATTTTTAGAGGCACATGAACATACGATACCTGTGCAAAAGCAGTCATATTGTTTAGACCCATCCTTTTTCCATTATACATGTATCACATTTTACGTGCTCTGCATACAGTGTGTACATGTACATTACACGTTCTTACTGGTACTTAGTGACAAGTGGGAAGTCAAATTGATGTGGAAATCAGACACGACGGTTTCATTTTCATTTTGATATTTCATTGTTTTTTAATTGTACCAATAGTCACTGTCATGCACTTCTGTAAGCATTATTCCTGATTTTGGAGCTCTGAAGACAATGCCACTGTGTTAAACATCAAACATTTCTCTGTCAAAACATACATACATGTACATGATAGAATCATGAGATCTTAGTATCGTCTGAATAGTCATGCAGTGTGTTAACAGTCATGTGGAGGGGATTCCCTTGCCTGTACTTGTACCTTGTCAACATTCTACCAAGGGATTTCTGTTGGAACTGACAAATGTCAAATAGGATTCACACCTTTAGCCTTTAAAGGCTAGGAGGCAGGTGTTACCTGTAAATTTGCTGTGTGTGATGTGTAGTTGAGTAAAACCTTTCTGGAAGGGTGGGAGAGAGGTTGTGACCTCACAGAAGAATTTGATGCATCAGAGAAATGATTTGAGGGGAATGTAAAGCCAAATCCTAACAGACTCATGCCCTTAAGTACATGTATTTCAAATCTCTGTCGATAAGTTTGTTTGTGAGGAGGGTGCTTTAAAATTGGCATTAAAGCATGAATCAATCAACGAACAAATAATTTAATTGTTCTTATTCCATAATACATGTATGTCAGTGTGGAATCTTGTATCTTTATAATATTTCATTCAAAATGGGGAATTAAACAGTACAATTTCCTTTATTATGTTCTCCAAACTACGAGTAGAAAAAGAAACTAACCATCCAATCATTGATCAGTGTTATCCATGGCCGAAGATTTTGGCAGGGCGGTAGACAAAATTGCAAGCGCGAAGCCCTTTCGGCGTGGGGTCCGTGGCCCGCTTAAGGGCCCGGAAAATTTTGGATTCTAGATGCTCTGTGGTGCATTCTGGGGCAATTTCCAGTCCACTTCCGTCTGTAATTTGGCCCCAAATCTGATTGCATTTACAATGTGAAATATTGGCTAGGATATTCTTCAGGAGGAGTTTCTTCATCGAAAGATTTGATGATGAAATTATTTTAATTTCCGGAGCCTTTTTAGCAGAACCTCATGTTAGTGACTCGAGACATGCTTGAGATGAGCAGAGCATTTCTTGATCAGTTGACTATGAAAAGGCAGATTAAAAACAAGCCTCAAAATGCACCCTTGAATAAAAAAGGACAAAAGAAATATGTTCAGGCAAAGATAAGTTTTCAATTTCAAGCTCACGTCATAAAAACGAAGCAACCCCTCCATCGGAGCAGAGCGTGGGGGCTGCTCAGGCATGGCACGGTCCTTCCACTGGCGCCCGCGCACACTCCGCAAAACAATGTCACATGCACTGCGTGTACATGTACATGTACACGCTTGCATAATTCATTGTACGTGTACATGTACAAAACATATGCGATCGTTTTTCGGGACTGCTGACTATGCATAATGGTAGGCAGCCAACAATCACCATTGTCAGTACATCATACATGTAAGCCTCGATCCACAAAGTGCAGCAAAGCTCTTTTTATTAAAGTCTTGTGAAAGTAGACATTCGGGGAAAAATACACTACTCAAAAAAATACCAGGGTGGCACAAATTTTAGCAGGGTGGCAAAATTTTAGCGGGGCGGCCCAAAATTTTGGCAGGGCGGTCCGCCCTGCTAAAACAGCTCGTGGAGAACACTGAGTTATGTGTACCGGTAAGCATGTATCTACTGCAGAGTTTAAAGAATTTTCCCCTTTTAAATCTGCACAGGATGACTTGTTGAAGTTGGCAGATTTTGGTTCATGTCGTAGTGTATACTCCAAGCAACCCTACACAGAGTATATATCAACAAGATGGTAAGTCCTAAAGTACAAATGTATACATTTCTTTTCCTTTTCATATATGTGTATCGGGTACATGTGTGTTTGGTGTATCGATGAGCATTTCTGTCACCCTCATACACTCGATACTGAAAACGACACAAGTTTGAAAAGTGCATTGTGCAAAATGAAGTTGACTTCAAATGAAACTTTGTAACTTTGGGTGGAGTCCTGTGACCAGTCAGTGAGTATGGGAAAGGGGCAGGTCAGCAGTCTTGACATTGGGTTGATATGTATCCAGTGTGTACATGTACATGTAGGCCAGATTATGCGGCATACATCATACATGTACCACACAGTTAACATGCTTCCTCCCTCCTCAATCGGAAATAGCTTTGAGAATTAAAAAGAATCCATCTACTCGTTTATCACAACAATGTACATAAAGTAAGCATCTGTGTTCTCCTCACGCTTTAAGCAGTTACTTAGGAATAGTGCGGAAATAGGAATCTGTCTCCTTTGTGTGTGAAAGCACCCTGTCACTTTCGTTTCCCTTAATGCATGCTGCATTCCCCAGTCCATTTGTGACGGTGTCTTGGTTTCCTCTTTTTTTTCATTGCGATTTTTACCTTTTTTTTTTTAAAGAGGGGAGGCTTTTTGACAGTAATTATGTTGATTGTGTTCTGTTGTTGTGCATTGGTAATAAAGGAGATTGCTCGTTGTCATTTATCTGAAATTGCCCCTTGTCAGTACTATCAGGTAATTTTCCTTTGCCATGTGCTTGTCAGGGATAAAATAAAAATCCATTTGGCAGTTGCATGAGTAAGATGCTGTTATTGTCTAACTGTGGTGTGGAAGTGGGAAATGGCTTGTTGTTTCACCAGGACAGTGTCTTTATCATGGCATTGCCAAACCCAAGACCAATAACAAAACCAAAATCTAAAACCCCGTATTCAAAACCCAAACCAAAACATCCAAACATACAAAAACCCCAAATTTACAAAAACAAACAAAATCCACATTGGTTTTTTGCAATTTTGTTCCTGCCCCCTAGTTTACATGTACGGTATAAATTTATGATTTGGGGTCTAACGTACCCTCAGTTGATTGTGGATAGTGTTTACAATTATGATGCAATTCTAACCCCTCTCCCACTTGCAAACCCATCTATTATGATTGTTAAAATGAATGTTTGCAAATCCTTCAAGGAATAAAGGATTTCTTGTATTCAAGACTTACATTCGTTATATGTGCATCTACAGGTATAGGGCCCCTGAGTGCCTCTTAACAGATGGGTATTACACGTACAAGATGGATCTCTGGAGTGTGGGCTGTGTCTTCTTTGAAGTCATGAGGTAAATATTTAAGCTTACATCCCAACCAGGTTACCAGACCTCTGTCATTCACATATTCCCAAGGATTGACAACCAGCAAAGGCCTAGATCTTGCTCGAGATGCAAGATTTGGAAGTGGAATAATGCAATCGTTTTCAGCTGCAATGATGTAGTAGAGGGTCTACTCCTTTTTACATCGTAGAAGTTTTTTGGCCCATCAGTCGCTGGAAAGCTGTGACTGACTGTTACTACAGAAACAAAAGAATAACTCACTCAATGTTAAAAAATCTCATGCAGCCAGCAAAATAGCAGAATTTAATGAAAATACAGCTCTCTTTGAAAGGGACAAGGCAAAAGCAGAGGTAAATTCTGACACCAATAGACAATATAACAGTGTCTATTTCCAAGCTAAGACCAGCTGTCGGTTTGCATCGACCCGCGGTTATTGCCCTCAAACCAAGTTACTTATTATCCAGTCCTGAGCAAACCAAGGTTACATACATATTACAGCTTCAGCTTCCACTAGGACAGAGCTCAACTGCCTGGGACATCATCACAAAGCTGCTCAACGAAGAATAATAGTAATTTGTGTCTTCGGGCAGTCCTCCTAACGTCTGGCAAATTTTTCTCCCTCAGCCTACATCCGTTGTTTCCTGGTGCCAATGAGGTGGATCAGATTGCTAAGATTCACGACATCATGGGAACACCGGATGCCAGCATTCTTAACAAACTCAGAAAGTAAGTGGCTCATGCTCTTCAGATTTACAGTCGACTCTCGTTATTACGAAATCGGCTGTAACGAAATTCTGTTATAACAAACACACGTCTTTGGTTCAGTCAAAAATGTGCACATTTCTACGGGGAGAAAATGAACTCGGACTATTGATCAATCCTGCTCATGCAGCTAGTGTCGAAAATCTCCCTGACACAATTTGTGTTAGAAAGACTACTTGCATGTACATGGATGGGGCTCCAGTTGATGAGTCTTCTCAGTCTCTCAGGTACACACAGGCTTACATGTGCATGCCGTTTAGTTACTGTTAACTTCGTCGTCATCCATGGCAAAGGAAAGTCTTTTAAAAATGTGTGGATCGATGCTTTCACACCTATGTATTTGCTTTTTATCACACATGTGCATTAATAATAATTATATAATGTAATTGAAAATTTATAATGCGCTGTTTCCATAAAAATGATTAACGGCGCAGTACAAGTTGAGGTAAAAAATAATGGATTTAAGAAATGAAGGGATGAATGTCACTGCGCTAGTACCCAAACTGCCGTATGGGGATACGTCTGTCCAGCCCACAGGGAGAATAATTTTACCCAGATCTAACCCTGCTGGAATTGGTGATGTCTCGATCTTTCCCAGGGACAGACGCCTCTAAACCTACCTACGCTAAAAGAGAAGTAATTATACCAGACACGGTGACACTTAAATTATGAATCACAGCTAAACCTACATTAAAATTAAAAATAATAATAACCCTACTAGATATAACTAATAAAATCAAGAATCTTGCAGTGCAATACCACTGTGCAAATGCAATATTAAAAAGGCGAGTTTTCACTTTACATTTGAAAACGACAAGGCTCTGCTCGCATCGTATGTGCTATGGAAAGGCATTCCACAGTAAAGCATTAAACATGTTGTCGTATGACAGTGAAGTTTGTTATTCTAAACACATCACTATATATTTGAGTAATCATAACCGAGAGATCTTTTTGATATCATTAACATCAACCACGCTCATATTGGACGTTGCGTTGTACACAATTGGACCTCCACTGCAGTTATGCAGTGCACCAAAGCCATTGCACTGCATTCTGCCTACAACAAATTTCAGATCCAACAAACATTTCTACTTGGTCCCGCGGATTTTGTAATAATGAGAGTCATCTGTAGTATGTTCTGTATCCCTCTTTAAATTCATCAAAGCCTCAGTAGAAATATACATAATTAGCCTTCCCTTCCTGAAATGGTATCAATGTGATGTGAACCAGTAAGGAAATTCACCAATGAAAGACTTGAGCTTGCTCCACACGATTTCTCTGTACATCTTTACCGACACAGCGATTTAAAGTAATAGCATTCAGTTTTCTGTTAATTTGATTGCAGTAGACAGTTGACTTGTTTGTAGGCACTGCAAAATGTGAATGATGTGTGGATTCATTAGTTTGAGTTGTCCACAATTAGTGAAAGCTTGAGGACCTGTAAACATGATCTAGCAGTCTGCATGTTCGCAGGGGCAGCTGACAGGTTAAGCTGCTTGAGCTTGGCCACTGCATGTGCATGGCCTGTTGTTATAGCATATGTTCCTCTGTGAAAGCACTTCCGAGTGTTGCAAAATACAAGGTTAGCGTCACAGTTGTGGTGCAGATGTTGTTCCACTGTGCTGCTTGGCTGTCCATGTATATCAAACGTTGCCAGCAGTGTCTTGGTTTTTCAAAGTCAAAATATTAAAGCTGGCACATTTTTGAGTCTCTTGGCCGATACAAATTGGGGGGGATTGAGCAGGGGCACTATAGCCTCTCATTTCCAACCAGCACCCAATTTCATGGCGCTGCTTACCGCAGAATTCGGTGCTTACGATCTCCATTCTGCGCTAACCACGCAAGCAGAAAAATTCTGCGCTAACCCTTTAAGCACAGGTTCCTTAGTTATGGGACGTACGTATGCGCACAAGCCAAAATTCCTCGCCAACCCATTTGTGATGCTTATGTTCACCATAAGCATAGAATTTTTCTGCTATGGTAAGCGCCGATTTTTGGCTTGCGGTAAGCAGCACCGCAAAATCGGGCCCATATGTACAAGTACATGGAGATCTTTGCCCGCCCAACAGCATGCGCACAACTGCTTCAGTCGTTCCTGGTTGATTTTGGGTGGATGAGTTTACCTTTTCTCTCCTCAGCAAAACGCGAGGAATGAACTTCAACTTCCCACCCAAGAAAGGCTCAGGGATTCAGAAGTTGCTGCCCCACGCATCGCCGGAGAGCATTGAGCTGATGTTCCAGCTCTGCACGTATGACCCGGATGAGAGAATATCAGCCAAGCAGGCCCTGAGACATCCCTACTTCAAGGACCTCAGGTCAGTTAAAATGAGCCAAAGACAGGTGTTCTGCAGGGCTAGTGTGAAGAATGTTAGCCAGAGAGTTTTCTTTCATTCAGGGCTCCAAGTGGACTCTAACTGGACCACAGGTTGTGAGGGGAAGGTAACATTTCCTCATAGTAAGGTTTTAGCTCATCTCAGGAGTCCACGTACATTTAGGTGGTTTAAAGCAGCCGGTCATTCATTGTGACTTGTGTCCATAGCAAGCTATACCCTAGTGTCCACAAGGACACCAACTAGAAATCTGCTTCAGTTTTACAGCTTTTCACGAATTTTTTTTCTCTCTAGAATATCACTTCTTAACTCATTTCTCAACAACTTACATATGTTATCCTGCATTTAACCACCACAGCTGCTTTGTTGATTTAAAAGCCTCTGCAGTACCCACCATGAGTAATCGCAAAAGAAAATAACTAGAAACACTCAAACCGTGCCCTTCCTAAACCTGAATTTAAACTGCTTATAAACCTAACCCCCTAGGGACCATTGAAATCCTGCATAACCTTGTTGGGTTCCCGCATGGTTAGGGTTAGTCCATGCTGCCTAAAGCAAGATGAATACTCTTCAGCAATGCCTGTAAATACTTATTCATTTGTCCCCTGGGCTTTATGCGCTGTGAGCAGTGCAGACCTCTTCTTTAAATGCCAGCTTTGTGTATTTTTCATTGCTAGAAATGCCTCCTTCCTGCAGGCTTTTTTTCAGTTTTCATCTTGTTATGGAAGGACTCCCTAGTTTCAGACAGGCTTTTGCAGTACTGACAGGACATATAAATAACATTCTCTCTTCCTCTTAACCGGTGCCAATTATTAATGAGCTTGGAAGGAAAATTGAATAACGTTCTCAAGAGGGATGGCTGGAATCTTAGAAGAAAGACTTAAGTTGCTCCATATGTTTGTCAACCATGAATAGAAACAAAGATTACTCATTCAGGGGTAAGAAAAAGCACACAATGTGTAGATATACGTGAAAGCTAGTATGCACTGGTTTTTTTTAGTTGTGGGATGGGTCCCAGGTGCACTGTGCAGAATTGACATCTTGTAATTAGGGATGTTGGAATTTTCCACAGAGCGTACATGTCTTCTTTAAAGTAACAATGCCAAAGAGATTGATCATTTTCAGATATCCAGAATATACAGTACATGTATGCAGGGCTTGAAATTAGCAGGTGTAGGTAGAGCGTTGTTTTTCTCCTAAATGCGCCCCTAAATTATAAGAAAAGTGCAAGTACTAACACCTGTTTGTTTCTATTCTTGCCATGAAAAATACCTGAACTTTTCTACTTCAGATCCACCCTTGTCATGGAATCGCAACATGTGTACAATTTTTTTTTTATGATGTCACCGATGCCACGCACGGCCAACAGTACTAGAGCTTCATAATGCATGCGACTGAATCAACTGTATACACCTGTGCAGTACTTGCGTATATGTACATACAGTGTAGTGATACGCATCTGCTGTGCGACCATTTCGTAGTGCAAGCCTTGTGTGTAAACAATATCTTGGGACCATCTGGTCATTGTGTTGTGATTGGCTGCCAACGAAACATCAATATTAATACATGTGTCAGTGGGACTCATTACAGCCGTTCCTGCGTGAGTGGAAGCACATGTAGTGACTAACAATCTTACTATAACTCGCGGTAGCACACATTTTACTGTGAATTTACGGCCTGAAATAAGGTTCTTTCGCTGAAAGAGGGTTTTGTGGCAACTTGTGTGGGGCGTGCAAAGTTATTGTGTCATGCATCGTCACGCGGGTTGTAAGTGCTTCATGTGCATTGTTTTGTACGAGTTTTCAAACAATTTTTGGATATTAACCACTTCCTGCTGGGGACTCCGGGATCGGAGACGTATGGTTTACATGGGTGGCCGAACTTGGACAAAGGA